TCAGAGTTGTGTCTTTAGCACTTTCAACTCCCTGAGATGCTGGTGTGATTATTGTTGGTGCTTGTTCTCCTTGAGGTTGAGTTTCGTCTAAGATTATCTTCCCATTTGGTGTAGTTTTTTTCTTGGTATGTTTGCTCCTCCTTTCTACATGCATTCTTCTCATTACTTTTGGCGAGACACGAATGCATTAAAACAGTCTTGGAATTATCACAAACATAAGAAGAATTTTCATATTGAACTTTTTCAGTGTTAGCAGTTGAAATAATTTCTAGTTTCTCTTTAGCATCTAATCACTTGTTCAATATTCTTATCGATTATGAGAAAAATATCACTAACACTTAAATTGAGGGGATCGGTTTATGGTTTTACATTGACTTGCGGATCACAACCTAAGATTTGTTGTATCGGTTCTGTTTTTGTGGTAGTCTTCCTTGTGGGGCAGACCTTGGCAACGTCTCCTTGCTTCTTGCACCTGTAACATGTCAGCTCTTGTGTAGTTTTAGATCTAGAAGACTTATCTTGGTCTTCAACTTGCTGGATTTTTACTCGTTGCATAAGTTTAGGATTTGTTTCCTCTCGACTTGCCTCTTTTGGGTTTGCAGTGATTCCCTTTATAGAAGTCTTTATGAGCTGGTCCCCAGTAATAACCCTAGTATCGTCATCCTCCAACTACAAGCTATAAAAAATTACATAAATCGATGACTTATAATTAATTTCTATATGAAAATCGTTCATGGAAACGCTGAGATGAAATCCAGATCCGATAAAATTAAAATTCATACAAAGAAAGCAAAAAACGCAGAACTTTGGACTCGATTTTAACCAAGCTTTCGAGACTGGAAAACCAAAACACTCACACCCATAACCTAAGAAAGGTATGTAAGCTAGATTTACTTGAGATGTAGATATCCAAGCTAAGAATGCAGTAAGGAAAAAGAGATGAAATTACCTCGATGTTCTTCGAAGCATTCTTCTTCAATACATGAACAATGAGCATAACGATGATTCTGGTCAGATTTGTTGAAAATGCTTTAGTTCACAAATAGTATGCATCCCTGCTCCAATTGCAACCCTCTTTATATTCAAACATTAAAGTTTTGTTGAGGTTACAAATTAGTGAAATCTAAAACTTTATGTTATAACATATATTGTCTAATATAATCAGGGTTTAATTTTCTAACCAGAGAGAATAAGCTGGATGATGTTTAAGAGAATGGATATGCTAAGGACTATGGAGAGATCAGCGACTGCCTCCGAAACTTCGTGCCTATCAGAGAATATATACGAAATCTCACCGCCAAACACCAGACCATGTCACACCGATCACGGCTGATACCACAAGCACCACTTTTATGGAGAATTTCACCGCGTCTGCATCTCCTTTTCCTAATTCGTTCGCCACTCGAACGCTACATTTTCCGATTGAGAAATAGAGCAACAAAAACTATAGAATTAAACAAAAAATACATATATGTATATAAGTCTAATTAAAAATATTTTAAATGAGTGTATATATAGTTACATACCATGCTGCACCCATCAAGCCAACGCTTACGTTCATTACCCAGGTGAATATACATTGGCTGCAAAATTCAATTGAGGATTTCGTTTTCAATAGTATAAAAACATTACAATTTTCCTTTCATAGATCATTTATTTTTCCCATGGTAGATTTCAATTAGATATACCATATGGAGAAGGCAGCAATTGCGATATTCACATCCTTTGTATATCCGGTCATTAAGACGATGATGCTCATGTACCAGTACTCTAAGCTGTTTCCAAGCAAACACAAAAGGAGTCATAAGAAAATGTTAAACGCCTTATCAGCCYGTTTGYGATTTATYATCATTTTGTTAACCCACRGGCAAAGAAAATTACCAGAGCATGAAACCGRAGGAAATCGATAATTTGAGCAGGGGAATAAGATCAACAAAAGCARYAGTGCGAAAGCCGKTCCAAGTAAGCGGGCACCACCCTCCTAAAACGTAAATAAACTCGGCTATTGCCACTGCCCACGAGCTTACATTAAGCCCTAGAAGCGCACCATGTATC